GAGACGAGAAAATGCCACTTCTCGTCTCGTCTCGTCACGCAGGTATTCCATTTTACCTCACTGCCTCATTTTACTCCGCTTTCCCCTACGTTTTCTCGTTTCAGTACCCATCGAATTATCGAAATGAATTTTAATGAACACCCAAAATGTTTGCAATTGGCATAATTGTTATGTTAAAAATTTCAACTTCCAAAAAATCAAAGTCCTAAAAATTCTAAGAGCTCGAAATAGTTCACTATTGGCCCGGCGCCGTCAGACGAGATTAAATAAATTAAAGTCGATTAAGCCTATGGCGTGGAACGAAACAAAGGCAAAAACCCCCACCAGAAACCATCGTAAGGAGCTCACGAGACAAATCGGTTGCGTAAGCGGATTTTCGGTAGAACTGAGCTCCGCGTCACATCGCACGCTGGATGAGGAACGAGAAAAAAAAGTTGCGCGGCAAATGAGGGAAAGAGGAAAGGGAGAATGAATGTAGGTGAACCCCAGCTGGCGCCCCCTTCACTCTCGTTCATTCCCGGAAATTATTTTGCGTTAATTTATTCGATTTATTCCCTCTGTATTTTCGGATGGAGAGGCAAAAAAATGACAAAAATGTAGTGCTTTGTGTGTGACCCGAGTCCGACTGAGACCTTGATACTTTAACGATTGATTGGCAGGATTACCAATTTGGCCAATTACAGTTTTGCCTGGTTTCGTTCGTAGAATAAAGAATTAAATTATATGGCCACTTTTGAGACTCTAGGCTGAGGATGAGATCGTAACGAATCACCTGAGGCCGAAAACTATCGAATTCTGATTTACGGATTTACGGAGAAATTCGAGGTCGTATCCCCTCATTTAAAACTTTCAAGTTCGGTTTGTAACATTTTTTTTGAATTTTTTGCTGCTAATTTTTTTCGGAGAGTTAGTATTTCTCGGGGGATTAAGATTCAAGCGGCGATAACATCACGATATTTCTCTCTCATGCGCACGAAGCACTGGGTTTTTAGGTTATTTTGGATGGGATTTTTTTATTTTCGGCGGGTTGCGGCTGTTGCGGGGAGGGTTGTTTACCGTAAACAATGGCACGAGAGATTTTGGAGTGAGATTCCATTCAGAGATTCGGATTTTTTTTTTCTGTACAAAAGGAACAAAAATTGACCCTTTTATTGTTATTCCGGAATAAACGGAGGAAAAAAAGGGGTAATTGCATTCCGTTCCTTTCAATATGGGTTTGTGTTCTATCGATAATTCATTAGTGATACGCTGTTAGGGGGAGATTTCGAATCAACCCTGGACAATCTTAATACCGTTCATAAAAATTTCCTAATTTGGCGTAATTTTTATTGAACGGTTAAGCTGACATTTACAGTTCCACTAAAAAAAAGCTTTATTTTAAAACTTATGATCTCAAATTGATATTTTTGAAAGTCTCGAATTGGGTTTTCAAATGGTTGAAATTTACACTTTTAAAAATCTCAAGTTGAGACTTTTAACAGGTTCAAATTGAGACTCTGCGGTCTCGAATCAAGACTTTTGAAAGTCTCAACTTGAGACTTTCAGAACTTCCTTTAAAGAAAAATTTCAAGTTGACTTCTGAAAGTGTTAATTTGAGGCATTCAAAAGTCCTAACTTGAGTCTATTAAAGTGTCAAATTGAGACTTTCAGGAGTTTCCAAATTGAGATCTCAAAGCCTCTAATTGAGACTTTTAAAACTCGCAACTTGAAATGTCAGGTTTCAAGTGAATATTTTTCGAAGATCTTATTTCAAGGCCTTTGAAATCTTAAAATAAAGTATTATTTTTTTGGGTGTTGATTCCCTTTTTCTGTTAATTTCCTTTTTAAATTATAGAAAAATCAACCACACATGTAATTTTTTGAGGTGCAATTTCCTAAAAATTCAACGAGAATAATATGCTTGAATCAAGTATATTGTATTCTTGAATCAGGTTTATGAATACACGGAGAGAAATGTTCAGTAGAAATTACGGAATTCACGGCTCGCTCACCGATTACAGAATCGACTCAGAAAATTTAAGTGATGGTATCGTAATTTTTACATGAAACTCCTGTGAAAAATTACGGAACGCTCTGGAAAAATTTCGTGATTTTAGGTAAAAATTCCGTGACAGTTCCGTAAAAGTTTCTACAACCACATTTCGCTCCGGAATTACGGAAAAGATACGTAATTTTTATTGAATATTTCTCTCCATGTAGAAATTTTTTTATTCATAGCATCCAAACATGTTGGTTTATTCTGCTTAAAAAAAATTTACATCGTATTCAGGTCAATACAGTATTATATAGGGCATTCTTCATTTTTAGGTAATTTACTTGAGTCTTGAATACTTAGTCCGGAGGAGTCTAAGAAGGCGTCCATAAGTTGTAATGTTTTTCTATTGAGTATTTTCAACAAAAAAATCTCACCGGGTGAGAGGAAACCCTCTCTTTGTAAATCAGACAGGATTTTCGGACGGTGTTTCACATGTCTGGGGCATTAGCAGAGTACATGATTTAGATGCTCTTCAGGATGAATGTAATTGATTCTGGTATAAAATATATTCAATTCAAGTATATTTTTTTCCGTGCTCTTAATTTTACATATTTTCTATCGCTTTCATCCACAATCAAGAAGCATGAACTCATACAAATGCAAATAATTCATCCCCCAGTCTTAGCATCATCCACTCTCCATCCCTAAAAATGAATAACTAGAAACAAAAGTCGAAGTCTCACCGACAATTTCCCACTACCATCGACTGAACTCAACTCATTTTCTTATTCTTAAAATGACAAACCACTCCTCGACTCAACTCCACTCGTGAATCAACTCGACTCATCATCGTTTGTCGTGCTTTCGTACGCTTCTCTCGTTTCGTCGTTCGATCATGCGTGCAGAACAAAAAGACCCGAAAATAAAGCATTAAATAGAAGAAGGGGGAATGAGAAGAAAAAAATATAAAAAATCGAGAGACGGCGAAACGTCAGTCGCCGGGAACTCGTTAAAGCGTTTGCACTCTTTGCATGCTTTTTTGGTAGTTCTCCCCCTCCCCCCACTCGCATTAATGTAAACATATTCCGCGAAGAGATTTCTCTCTTTGTTTCTGCTCCTCTTCTCGTTTGTTAATCATAAAATATTCGTTTTATTTCTCTTATTAAAAATAATTTTTAATTCCCTTTCTCATCTAAATTCAGAAGCGAAGCGGTAAAACTATTCAAATTAATTTTGACTATTGATCAGATTTCAATTAATATCTCGGAATCTAAGGCAGATGGCAAAATTTTCGTGATAACCTTTTTTCTAGAACAAATTGGGAGCTACAAAAAAGGTTTTCATGAAAATTTCGCTAGGGAAGACCTGGGCAAAATGAAACCCCTGTAAAATTTAAGATTTTACACAAATGATTGATTTTTCTGTTGTTATTAATGAATTACCCCATTGTTACTAGATTTAAAGTATAAATATAACTCAGATTTCAAAGATTAGAATTTGAAAAAATTCTAAACGGATGTTAATAAGAATGGAAGCATTCTGGTTAAGTTAGCGCTCAATTCTTACTCTAGTATTATTAATAATAATTAATTAATAAATACCAAAATAACCATGACCACGACGAAGTTTGATCCTCGTGCGGTAAAACCGGAGAGACTTAATTATTTCACTCGATTTATGATCCATTGGCCTTTGTCCTTAAAATTTCATAGACAGCCGACTAGTAATTTTCAGAAGATAAATATTGAATGCAATTTAGGGGCAACGAAATCATAAAATTTCAGATTTCACAGAGAATTTCAAATTTTTAAGCAGCATTAAGACAAGAATTTCTCAACTTATTATAATTTTCTACGAAAAAATGAATATTTCGTGTTATTCATTTTTATAATATTTACTGAAAATTTCCAAATTTCGATTAAGTTTAAGGGAATAATTAAACTTACATTTGCAGTTCTCATTGATTTTTCCATGAGATTCTGATTTTTCAATGACGAAATTCCTTGAAATTTTAGTGGACCTAAAATGTGATAAAAATTCCCTGAAAATGTATCAGAAATTTACAGCCAAAACATTTTCGAGTGTACAAAAAAAATCGAGTTAGGATGAACTTACAAAAATTTAGAACTGTAAAAACTAGAATATTGCTGATAACGACGATCACAGATTGTCTTCGATACAAGTTTTTTTTTAAATCGAAAACTAATTTTCCTGCTTATGCGTTCTGTTAAACGACGTTACAAAACATTGTCTCATTGAAAAACAAAAAAAAGAGGGGTTTCATTTTGCCTAGTGATGCCGTGAGAGACTTTACTTTGGAGAGTTGGTCTCGGTCTCCATGAACATGGAAATCTTTGGTCTCGTCTCAGTCTCGAAATACGCATTATCAACTAATCTCGGCACAACTCCGATTTAATTTGTCTCATCTCGGTCTCAAGTTTTTCGTATTTTTAATGTAAAAGCTCGGTTTTTGTCTCGCTTTGTCTCGTTTCGATTTTCTATATATAAAAAACGCGAAAAATTGGAAACCGAGGTGAGATAAATTGACTCGGAGTCATCACGACAGAAGTTGATATTGCGTATTTCGAGACTGAGATGCGACCAAAAATTTCCGCCTTCACTGAGACCGAGGCAATTCCTCCGAAGTATTGTCTCGTGATGTCTCGTAAAGTCTTTCGCGGCGTCACTAATTGTACCACGGGGTATCATTTTGGCCCGCTGTCCATTTTGCCCCGGTCTTCCCTATCTCCCTTAGAGTGGGAGATATTTCTCGAAAACTCAACTAAGAGTAAAACCCACTTAAATCATTTTACCGTTTCGCTTCTGAATTGATTCATCACATTTGTTACATTTATTCATAGAGTTTGATTGCGTCGGATTTTATCGTGATTATTTTCTGTGCAGGGGGATAAATCTATCGATAGTGCCAATTGCAGTAGAAAGAGGAGTGTACACTCGACTCGGGAGTCACACAGGAGCACCGTGGTGGGTCTTGTAATATTACGTAGTGGCATTGGGACCTATGATGTATGTGAGTGTATGTGGAGTTTGTGTCCGAGGCCACAGAGGGGGACCTGCCCCCGCGGCAAGTAGCTGACAGCCCATATGAGCGAAAACTAATCTATACCACACCTCGGTTTCGATCCCAAACGAGGGAATAAAAATTCAAAATGGGTTGTTGAGGAACCGCGGGGCTAGGGTTCAGGATGAAACACTTTGCGTTTAGAATATAAACAAAGCATAAATAAGGGAGTCATTTTTTTGCTGTGTCGGGGGACGTGATGAGTCTACATATTTAAATTGTCTGACTGAGTTTTGAAAAAAAATGGAATTATTGATTTTTTCGCATCCAATGAGTGATGCTTGCTGAGTTATAAATTGATCATGGAAATATTTTATTCACTTTCAGTTCTTGTTTCCTTTTTTTCAAATATCCTGTTATGAAGAAATTTAAATTTAGGGGGCAGTGTAGTAATCATGTTCAGAACAGCGACGTTGGATTTGACTCAGGAAGAAAAATGCACAAAATTTTCAATTTTTTCAGGAAAGGGTAGGGCAAAACGGACTACTGACAGAAAATTTGTAATTTTTATTTTTTTTTCTTTCCTTGAAATTAGGAAGACTGAATATGTTGAATTAAAAGTGAGTTGCAGGATCATAACCGTCACAGGGGTTTTATAAACAAGATGTGTCGTTGAGTCGCAATTTGATCAGATTTGCTAATTACCTCAAACCACACATAATTTTGAATTTTTGTTTTTGTTTCCATTCGGAAGTAAAAATTATCAAAAAAATAAAAAAATAATCAATTTTCTGTCACTGGTCCATTTTGCCCTACCCTCCCCTATTAGTTGAACTACTTTTTGAGCAGTGGAAAGATGATAATTCTCGAATTTACTTGAATCTTCAACGGAAATAAGAAAATTTAACACTGTTGGTCGCGCCGAAGCGTCGCGCTGCACCAGCATAAATCCACGTAATGATAAGTTTGAAAGATCTAGGAAAAATCTGAAAAAAATCAAGACTGATCTAGATCGTATACTTGAAGACGTCCCGTGAGATGTTTTATGTTCAATGCTAGCATTAATTATATGAACCAATGCTACCATTTATTATATACTCAAGCTCAAATTTGCCATATTTTTCTGAAAATTCGCCTTATACACGGTACACAGCTCGGAGTTTCGGAATACAAATTTGAAAATCTAACTACTTATGATATTTTTGCGGATATTTTAATTGCTAGGGTTTCTAGACAGGGTAATTTAAATGAAGATATTTAATTGACATATTTTTTCAGCCTTTATGAAAAAATTGAAATCTCGTCGACAGTTCAATATTAATTTTCAGGAGAGATTAAATTCGGACGACGTTAAATTCCATTCATGATGAAAAATGATAAATTTTTCATTGTACTAATAATTGAATAGAATTACATATTTTTGAGCAGCAGGAAGACGATAATTCCCAAAATTACTGCTATCTTCGATGAAAACGAGAGAATCGAAGTATATTTTTTCCTGAATTTCCCCGATTTCTATTAATTTCTCTGGAATAATTGAACTGAATTTTACAGTTTCCATTGATTTCTTTATTAAATTGTGAATTTTTAATTACAAAATTCCCTACAATTTTAACAGAACCGTCAATTGATAATATTTTGAAGAAACGTATGGGAAATTTCAACCAAAAATTATCAACAGCGTGTATCAATTTTTTTTTTGCAAAATATAATAATTATTGAAAATCGTTATTCAACAGTCAATTAATTTTTTTTTCTTACGAAAAAAGGTCAGACACAACATCTCACTGTGGCTGGCTACAGAAGGAGACATGTCCTGGTGGAGGAGGTGCCGGGACTCTACATTCGGCGCCTTACACTCGAGGATCCCCGTATCGCTCGCGACCGTGTAGACCGCCCCGACTCAAGGTCACCATCACCAATACGTCATATCTGTCATCCACGGAGTGCCGAGGCTCGCCCTGGGCGAGGATCATCTAGGTAAATCCCTCACGTACAAATTAAATACTGAATTTCTACAAATTTTGTTTCATTCTTTTGAGAAGTTTCGAGAAGTGAGAACTAGAATTCCTACTAGTATGCAATTATTCAACCAACCCGCCCACGGACTCAATCATAAATTACAACACCGCGGTTTTGGTCAAAAGAAACTTATTGCCAAATCTGACGTCTTTCCATGACAGGCAAAGTATTTAGTTGGGAAGATATATTTAATGATAAATACTAATTAAGGAGAATGTCAATAATTTGAAATTATGGGCTTTAAAATGCATTTCTTTTGCTCCTAGTCTGGTTTTATAGCGTATAAGTTCTTTTACAAATATTTCAAGTGCCATCTACAGTTTCGTAGTGACCACTATAGATTAGCAGATTTGGAGTGATCATTAAAAAATATTATATTATTGGATAAAATATTCTTTTTATCGCTTGTGCGTAAAGTGAAATTTTCAGCAAGCTTCGCGTGCGCAAAATCCCACTTTTCACATATCGTGATGAAAGATAGGGTTCGATACTCGTGAGAAAAAAGTTGTTTGACCCTTGGAAAGGTAACACTCGCCTTCGACGAGCATTACGCACCTGTCACGGGTCAAAAAACACTTTTACGCACTCGTATTGAAATACACTATTTTGGGATACCTATCTGGAAAGTGCATGTTTAGAAACGATTTAGTGTTCGTAGAGTTTTGCGCACGGCATGCGTTAGTATTTTATCACAATTTGTAAAACATGGGATTTTACGCACGTTCCCCGTGCGTAAAATTTCACTTTATGTAAAAATGATGAAAAATACTATTGTGATACCTGCACGGAGAGAAATTTTTGATAAAAATTACCCTACCGTTCTATAAAAGTGTATCATGAGGCATCGTTTCCTCATTTCTATCCCTAAATTTAGTAAAAATTAATATATGATGATCAAATTTTATTCTACGTTAGAGAAATTTTATCCTGACGCATAATAAATTTTACTCTTCCAGTCCTGTAATTTTTATGCGGATAACAACGGAAATTCTAGAACGGTTGGTAAATTTTACCCTACCGGTACAGTAATTTTTACTCTACCGGCACAGTAATTTTTATTTTTATCAGGATAAAATTTCTCTAACGCAGAACAAAATTAGATCATCACATATTAATTTTTATTAAATTTCGGGATAGAAATGGGGAAACGACGACTCATGATACACTTTTACAGAACGGTAGGATAATTTTTATCAAAAATTTCTCTCCGTGTGCGTGAAAAATGGACTTTTCGAAACGGTTTCGTGTGCGTAAAAGTAGTATAGCAATAACGGTTCTGGCTCACTTTGGCTTTGAGAAATGAGAAGGTTCTAGAAGGTTTGACGAGGAGGGGCTGAGCGAGTCGGTGGGGGAAGGGGGTGGTAGAATGTTCTGGAAGCATTGGTGAGGGGAGGTGAGGAAGGGGTGGGGCAAAACGGGTCGGAGGGGGGAGGGGTAGTGGTAGAATGTTCTGAAAGTTTTGGTGAGGGGAGGTGAGGAAGGAGTGGGGCAGAACGGGTCGACGGGTGGTGAGGGGGGGGG